TTATGGAACGTAGGGCATGAAGGCAATAATGTCATACAATGACATTGTTGTAACATTGTGAGGATAATGAGTAGTCATGCATAATGTTGAGAAGATGACAATAGAGATGTTAGCTTCACTACGAATCAAACGAAGTGACATTTGAAGGCGATAGTTATGAAAATTGTGATTCCTTGACCAAAAGTTATTTATTTCTATCACTTGGAATTATGTTACTAAATTTATTATAAAAGGGATATGCTCGGTAAGTAGCCAACCATCCAATTCACCCTGAAGCGTCCAATCCTCGAAAGGACAACTTGCGAGCTATTTGAACGCACAAAATCTGCAATCCTTAGAGGCCATGGGGACACCTATGGTCCTACTTAAGCACCTCCAGTGAGCGGTAGAGTACTTGGATAGCGTCGGGAACCTATCGGGTGGTGTTAGGACCTAGTTGCCTTCATTGACACCTAAAAGGGGTTTGAAGTTATCAATAGAGCATTGCTATGCTTTGAGGGCTGCGAGAAGGATATGGTTACACCTTTACGCTAAATGAGTTATTGAAAAAATAACTTAAAAGGGCTCATATGCTAGCTTGTGTTCGTTGACTGGGTGTACTAGTCTTGTCGCCTGGGTCTGTTGGCTAGAAACGCATCCTGGATGATGCCGCATAGTTGGGTGAATGGGACACGATTCTTATATAATGGGAGTCCTTATGCATGAATGTGCTTCAAACTACCCATGGACTATTAGATGACCCCACGTGGCAAGACATTGACTAAAGGCATTGGACATGCATCAAGCTAAAATGCCTATAAGATAATAAGAAGTGACGATCACAAGAGTAACGTTTTTGGACATGCGAGCAATCTTCGCTAATTTGGATGGAACTAGGAAGTTCCTTTCTGTGAAGTATTCTTCGAAAGAACTATATGTTGTGCATCAGCATTTGGGCAAGCTAGATAAGTCGGGACCAACAGATTGGGTGCATTGATGATGATGTGCATTGTGAATAGTTGAACTTGGCACCTAGTGCAGTGGAGGGATGCATTTAGGTGCTTACAAGCTAGCAAGTGTTTTGGGTAGAAATGCAACTGCTCATGTCTTATGATGGAAGAAGGCAAAAGAAAGATGAGTGGTGTAAGATTACTACAACACATATGAAAAATAGGTCCATTGCAAGATTCAAAGAGCCGGTCCATGACACTGCGACTCAAGATGGAGATTCATCCACTTTAGACAACAATGCTAATTTTTTTTCCCTTGGGGAGCATCTAGAACTTTGCTTTCCTAGCTATTGATATTCAATCGACCACAACTTCTCATAGGAAACTTGAGATTGTGATTTGTAAAAATCTTCATCAAATTATCTTTTGAATGGTATATCATTTGACTTCGTGAAGAAATTTATATCAAACTTGGTTTCATAGTTTCCCCACATGCTCCACCTATTGGTCCTCCTTCTTGCTTTGATTTAGGTCCCAATTTTAATCCTCAATATCCCTCCAAAACATTTTTCTTTTCAATTTTCCTTCCTTTCTTGTCCTCCGTTGTTCTGTTTTTGATCTTCACTTTAAAATCTCAAGTTCTTTTCATTTTCTTGCCAATTTTACCAATATAACTTAAGTTCAGAAATTTGTCTTACAATAATGAAAATGAGCTAAAAATCAGTAAACAATAAACTCCAACGCAAATTAAAGACCTTCCTTAGGAACATACATAATTTTAATAATCATTTTATTCAATTGATAATTGGTAATACAATGGACCCAAGGGCGGATCTAGGCATGGGCTAGCTCGGACTACGGCCCGTGCTCCCCCAAGCCCAGATCCAGTTAGTCCACCTTTGTTGTGTATTTTTTTCATTAACAAATTAATGTGTCCAATCAAACAAAATGAGTAATTGACCCCAACTTCAATTTTTTTGGCCCAAACAAACTTTAAATTTTATTACCCATTTATAACCCAAACTCAAACTCAAACTAAAACCTTAAAACTTATTCTATTTCCCTCTCCTCTCCTCTCCTCTCCAGTCTCCTTCATTAGGCCCTAGCAAGTTAGCAACGGCCATTCAATTCCTCTCCAATACTTCAACCCCGCAAGTGGTAACTGGTAAGTATTTTCAATTTTAGTGTTTAGCTTCTTATACTTTAAACTTGGACCTTTTTATATATATTTTTTGTTGAGATTGATTCTTGTTGAGTGTGGGTTTTTGAAAAGTAGAATTTTTGTGTTTCTACTGGACAAACGGATGAGGGGCAACTGGAAACCAAGGAAGCCTAAGGTGGATCTATAGAACTGGGGAGCCAGATACTTACACATTTCTTCAAGCAGATCCTATGTTATGAAATCTAAGGATTTTTGGGATTTCTGTTTTGCATTCACATGGTTTTGAAATATCTACTGCAGGTAGACAAAAGGGTCCATTCAAGTGCAACAATTCTGGGAATTTCACACTTTCGATAACTTCAAGATTGTTAAGGATTTTCTAATGTCCGAAATACTAATTTCTTTCCTTTTCGTTTGTGGGTTTTGAAGGGTTCTTTACTTTTGGCCTGTTTTGGCCTTCTTTTTTCAGCTTTTAATAAATCAAAAACTTGCTTATAATTTGAAAGTATTTTTGAGGGTTTAGGGTTCTGTAGTACTTTTGTTTAAGTTTGTTTGTAGAGTTTTTAACTTCTTCAGTCTAGTTGGTACTTTCTTTTGTCATTTTCTTTACCGATTGGAGTTTTCTATCTGAAAACATCTGGTTAAGTTCTTGAATTCAAACCGAATGCTGAGTCGAGATGACTTGGAATTACTATGTCGCGAGTTGAGGTGGCAATCCATTAGTTTGAATATTTTTTCATATTGTTGAAGGGATTTTTAAATTTTAGCCCATGCGCCAAAAATCCTAGATCTGCCTCTGACCAAGAGCGAATCTAGGCATGGGCTAGCTCGAACTACAGCCCGTGCTCGCCCAAGCTCGGATCCAATTAGTCTACCTTTTTTGTTTTGTTTTGTTTTTTTTTTTTTTAAACAAATTAATGAGTTCAATCCAACAAAATGAGTAATTGACCCAACTCCAATTTTTTTTGCCCAAACAAAATTTAAATTTTATTACCCAGTTATAACCCAAACTCAAACTCAAACCCAAACCTTAAAACTTATTCTATTTTCCTCTCATCTCCTCTCCAATCTCCTCCATTAGGCTCTAGCAAGTTAGCAACGGCCATTCAATTCCTCACCAAGACTTCAACCCCACAAGTGGTAACTGGTAAGTATTTTCAATTTCCGTGTTTAGCTTCGTATATTTAAAACTTGGACCTTTTTATATATATATTTTTGTTAAGATTGATTATTGTTGAGTGTGGGTTTTTGAAAAATAGAATTTTTGTGTTTTTACTAGGTAAACGGGGGAGGGGCAGCCAGCAACCAAGGAAGCCGAAGGTGGAATTGCCTGGGAGCCAGATACTTATGCATTTCTTCAAATGAATCATATGTCATGAAATCATAGGATTTTTGGGGATTTCTGTTTTGCATTCACATGGGTCCATTTTGGTGCAACAATTCTGGGAATTTCACACTTTCGATAACTTCAAGATTGTTAAGGATTTTCTAGCGTCAAAAATACTAATTTCTTTTCTTTTTCGTTTGTGGGTTTTGAAGGGTTCTTTACTTTTGGCCTGTTTTGACCTTTTTTCAGCTTTTAATCAATCAAAAACTTGTTTATAATTCGAAAGTATTTTCGAGGGTTTAGGGTTCTGCAGTACTTTTGGTTTAAGTTTGTTTGCAGAGTTTTTAACTTCTTCGGTCCAGTTGGTACTTTCTTTTGTTATTTTCTTTAGTGATTGGAGTTTTCTTTCTGAAAACATCTGGTTAAGTTCTTGAATTCAAACCGAGTGCTAAGTCGAGATGACTTGGAATTACTATATCGCGAGTTGAGATGGCAATCCATTAGTTTGAATCTTTTTTCATATTGTTGAAGGGATTTTTAAATTTTAGCTCGTACGCCAAAAATTCCTGGATCCGCCTCTGATTATGGAACTACAATGAAATGTGAATTTCCAAACTGTGTTTCTGTGATAGTTTTAAGGGTCCCTCCACAAAAGGATCACATCAAGGCTTAAACAACTACTTATCTAATCTGAATTGCATTTAGAAAATTTGTTACATAATAGATAATGTCCGTAAAAAAATCGTCTTTGATATGATATTAAAGGGTCTCTATCTAGATGACGTGACAACAAATAGACATTTTGAAATTATTCATCTAGACATAGATAGACATGAATCATTATCACTATAATGACTCGAAATCTATGCCCCAAATGTTACTCAATTAATCTTATATATGTAAGAAAAGTGGATTTACTCATTTTGTAATATAGAAACATTTGAAAAATTTTGAGGGAATAAAATAAGTTATTTTATTGTCTCATTAAAATGTCAATCAATATAATCCACTACTGAAATGTAAATTTATCGATTTTCAAAATAAAATTCTAAATACAAATTGATTTTAAACTAAATACTAAATATTGAATAAAAATAAAATTCTTGATCTAGCGATACGAACCTTCTCAGCAGTCTCAACTTCCAACTCCGATCCATCAAGTATCTATAAAAATAATTTAGAATATAGAATGAGTATACGAATACACTCAGTAACAAATTCATGTCAGTATTTTCACAATGTAATACAAACAGCAAGTAAAATACGCACATCACATAATTTCGTTAAAACTCGTATTTCCAATCATTAGGATTATTAGTACAAAGTCACTATTAAACGTTAAAATTGTTAAATTATCCTAAAATATCAAAACTTGCATTTATGCCTCAGGATATATGTTGTACGTATTTTATGGGTATTACAATAGCATGGAGTCAAAGTCTATCTATTCGTCCAGGCAAACTGCAATATGTGGAACGCACAGTTGATAGATACCTGCCTTCTTCCACACGTAAACTGTATTAAGGAACTTACAAGTCTTTGTAGCGTTTCGTTTCTGCTTTTTGACGAAATGAAGTCTTGGTCTCCGTGAGCGACTTTGGCGGAAATAGATAGCTACAGCGTTTTCTTCAGCAGGTGGTCTGAATTAAACCCTAAGGAACATTGCGGAAAAAGATGTATTTAAAGAGACGACGCCATGGAAAAATACTCCATTCGATCACTGAATAAAAATGTCAAAATCGAAGCAAACCCATGTAGGAAAACCCAGCCTAGAATGTCTAGGAGAGGACCTCATTCAGAATATACTATGCCGGCTGCCGGCCTCAGCCTTCGCATCGGCGGCGTGCGTTAGCCGCTACTGGAATTCTACATGTAATCGCATCCTATTTTCTTCCCCAAAGCTCTCATCGGCCGTTTCTTTCAACCCTTCACTTGAGGTACTGTAACTCGAATAGTGATAAGTTTTTTACTGATGGCATTTTGGGAGCTGTGTATTTTAGTAGGATTAAAATCTGGCGAAATGCTTGGTTTTGAACAGAAGATTAGTATTAGTAAACGAAACTCACATCATTTTCCTTGCATATATTTTATTATTATTCTAATTACTCAAATTGACTGTTGTGGTCCTTTTTTTTTTTGGGATGTGCTATATGCACATATCCTGTGCACAGGGTCCACCCCCTTGTGAGACACCCTGTGCACAGGGGTCTGTGCAAGAAGGGTTTCCCCTTTTTTTTTTTTTTTTATTTCTATAATATGCCTGTTGTTGACTTGGGATCCATTTGTTTAATGGGAAATGAGTTCTTGAGGAATTTCAAGTTACCAGTGTGAAAAGCCCAGAAACAAACACAATCGATTTCTCAAACTAGAAATTAAAGTGCAGAAATGAAAATCAACACAAACGAATTTATCCGGCCGAAGTCCAAAGGTTCAACGATCCTCCTTTTAACTCTTAATCCCCCGTTGAATATGTAAGTGTTATACCCTAGATCTAATCAACTTTAGATATAAATACTTTTAATATATAATATAATTGATGCAATTTTATGGTATTATTTAATTAATATTCAATTAAATTAAATAATAGAGTCCGTAAATTTAAGTTTTAATAATTACATATGATTGAATCTTAGATCATCTATGGTCATAAGTAATAACGAGATACGAATATCGTTATTACTGATGTACTATCACCTGTGGTATTTCTTATTTGCGAAGTAGTTGATTTTATAAGTTAAAGTGTGATGATACTTAAATGAACACATGAATAATTTGTTATAAAATAAAGCATTGAAGGCCCGTCGAAGAGATTTCACATGGATAACTATTTAAGTGCCAATGGCTAATATCTAAGGTTTGGTAGTGGAATTGGCCCTTTAACGTGATGTCATCATCGTGCCTTATATGATGACAGTTATACTTTGGTGATGTTGAATGTTGTTCTGTCAAGGGCCGCTAATACAGTATCGTTCGAATATGTCAAGAATCATATAAAGGTTGTGAATAATCAATAGATAATTTGTCACTTTTAAATAGTAAGAGATTATGATCTACATTTCGTTAGTTAAATTGATAACGAAATCTTGGACAATGTGTACTCATAAGTCGAAAAGAAATTTTCGAATTATATCAACTTAATAGTGGAATGAAATATACTATCAATAATTGAGATTGACACATATCTATATCTCATAATCGATCGGATCATATTGACGAAATGATTATAGTTTTAAGGTAAACAAACAAGTTTGATTTTGTCATATTACGTGATATTTTTCGTCACATATATTACCTTGACACATTGCTAGATATCAATTTAGGACAACAAATGTGAATTGGTGATAAATTAAAAAAAAGTATTTTAACTTATCGATTTTGATTAGATCAAAACAATAATTTACATCCTTAGGCATTGTGATTGGAACCTAATGGATCATACACAAAAGGAGAATTAGAAGAATGAGATTACCAATTAATTAATTGACAAGTGTTGGATAATTAATTAATTGAATTGCTAGTTAATAAGCCCGAATTAATTAAATATATTAATTAATTTATGGATCAAATTTAATTAATTGAATTAATTAAATATTGAATCGAATTAAGTTAAGAGACGGGCCAAGCTCGTTTAGACTTATATTAATAGGTTGCTAAGGTCTGAAAAACTGTAGAGAATACAATTATTCTTGCTAGCACAAGAAAAGAAAACCTTAGTCCTCTGTGTGAATTTCTATTGGAGGCTGAACAATTAGGCAGATGTGGATTGCAGATTGTTATTGTTCGTGTTCGAAGATCAGTAAAGGAGTTTGCAAAATTTATTAAATGTATTATTCTATCACAGTTTTTATCCATGCACAAAGAAAATCCTTGATAGGAATTGAAATTTATTTTATTTTCTGCTATGCAAGATTAAGTAAATTTCCAATAAAGTATCCATATAAGATGGATAATGTTCGGTTACACTATAAAGCCCCAAAACGGCAATGAAGGTTTCAAAGTTCAACTGGTACAATTTGTAGTATCAAGAATTTATCTTCTCACAACAAAAACCGCAAATCTACTCAAGAATCACAGAAGAAACCCTTAAATTATCACTCTGAATTCTTCACAGCATAATAACCATATCGATCTTATGGATTTCACTCAGAAATACAAGAATAAGAGGAAGTAAACGATTTAATCTCAATCTCAAACGAGATTTTTAAAAGATTAGATGAAGACAAGTATCAAGATCTGGTGCAAGCCATCCCCTAACAAAGTTGCAAATTTAAAAACACGAGTAAAGTCAAATTTTGGTGTCAAAAAATTCACACGTGCACAATACTCAACGGAGAGATTTATTTTGCCTTCTCTGCATATTAGCTTTTATGGAAAATTTGAACTAACTAGAGAATTTCAACTTTTTAATTGTTCCGCACTCCCATCAAACAAATTTACATATACTTCGGATAGGAGTTGTGTTATTTCAAAACATATGTAATAAAAATCAATATTCTGTTTCAACAGTTTCAACTTTATCTTGGCTCTTGATTCAAATTTTGTGCTGATGATTGTAGGAAGCTGTGAATGAAGTTATAAATAAAGTTTTATCTAAGCCCATACGACCGCATTTTGCCCTGGCCTCTATTGGCTCCTCATTTAGCTTGGAAGACGCTTACCAACTCGTATGATCTCTTTTGTAATTACATAAATGTGCATACACGTTCGTCACTTCATTGCAAGCCAGATACTCAGTGGAAGTTAATGTTCTGCAGATTACTGAAAGCTTTGCTCCAGAGATTCCTGTAATTGTCAATTGTCCGGAGGGAATTATTGGGAGAGATGCACTTACAGATGAGTTTTTGGAGGTAATATCTGATTATTATGGATACTTTTCAAATGAAACCTTCATGCAAAAAAGTTCAAAGATTTTGGACTCAAATTTTTTTTATTGTTCTAGGTTCAACGGAAAGTAGCTGAGGGTGAAGATCATGGTGGGGCTTCACCCGATCAGAATGTGAACCAAGGCATCATATTGATAGTTGGTTTTTTACCAGGATTAAAGGCCCATATATTGCCCTTGTTTTATCAAGAGAAGGTAAATCCAATGTATATAGGTCGGGGATTTCATGTCGATATCTATATGAACTGTTTCCAGATAATTTGCATTGTTCATACACTATCAGGTTTCGGGACAGCTCTTCTTTGTTGTTTGAGAGTTTAAAAATTATAATGTCTGATTCCTACTGTGGTATAGAGCAACGAGTAATTTGTTTCTTTTTATATATTTCAATATTTTACTTTTGGCATAATCAATGCCAGTATCAGGCACTTCTGATTGATGATTTTGTGACGGGCATCAAGGAATACACCTCTTCTGTTTCAGAGTCTACATCTCCTGCATCAATTGTGTTGTTTTCGGTGAGTTGATAGTCTTTTATGTTACTTTTTGTGCGGGCTCTTGTAAGTTCATCTGGTTTGTCTTTACCTCAACAATTTGGCCTATGCTTTTATATTCTGTTATAGCAGAGTTGATCTCCTGCCCTCAGTTAGCAGGATAAAAACTTCCCGTTGGTTACTTGATAGAGAGAACCGTAAGTATGATTCTCTGAGTAAGGTTTTCCTCCCACATCAACAATGGAAAGTTTTATCCTACCCAATATGGGCCGGAGATCAGATCTGTCTATTATAGTCCAGACTATTACTATTTTCCAATCCATAAGTCCCGCCCCTTGAACTTAATTTCCTCTTAACTTTCAACTTCCCACTTCAGCAATGGAAAGTCATGCTACTTGTACAAAATTGGTTGACAAAAGTTGGTTTACAAAACAATATCTACACCAATCATTTCAAAAATACTTTTCAAAATCATTTGAAATTAAAGGCCAAGATTCTGCTAGCACTTGTTTTGTCAACCATTTTTGTTAACTTGTTTTGTACAACTAGATTAATTGAAAAAGAAATGGCTTTTTACGTCAATTGGTTTACTTCATCCATTTTATCTCCAGTCAAAGGGCAATTTGAACAACTCGCAATAAATTTAAGGGGTTAGGTTCTTTTTTATATTTTCCAAAAAAGCTTTGTACTTGAATTTGTTTCTTACATGTGAAATCAATGATATCCCAGGGCCGGGAAACTGACATCAAACCTGTGCTACAGAAGTTGGGTGAGTAACTAAACTTATGTTCATAATTATGTTAAAACGATAAAATGTTCAAGAAAGAGAAACAAAGACTCAGTACATGCTGACTCCTAATAAAACAGCTGAACTTGCATTTTGTCTCTGATGTTCTATAAGGACTTGAGGTATGCCCTTTTCTGGTATTCTTTGTTTCTTGTTTTGCAGATTATGCCTTTTCCTTGGACACGGCAATTGTGGGCGATGGGGATAGTGAGTTCTTATACCGAAGTGATGACAGAAACAATATAACCAGGAGATCTGCAGCAGTTGCCCTTCTATTTGTAAAAGAAAGAGACAAACCTCCAGGTCAGCTTATCCTTCACTTGTCATTCCAAGCAAATTTTTTTTTGTTAAGCACCACAAAGTGAAGTGGTTTTTTCAAGTTAGATAATACTCATATCTCCTGTTCTGGTTACATCTCAATGTGCAGGCATAGGGGAAACTAAATTTCATGTCATGCTATCAGCTGGCTTATTGCCAGTTGGTTCCACATACAAGGTAGTAGCTGTTAAATGCGATAAAAGTTCGACATGGCTAACTGCAACAAGAAACACACTTGATGACGCTCTTGATGGCCAAAGTATTTTAGATGAGATCTATGACGAGGTATCCACATTCAAACTTTATTACTATCTGGAGTTACTTCTAGTTGGTCGAGCGAACATAGTATACTGTAATTAACGTGGTTGGCATGGTTCTGGTATTAGTGTTCAAACTGATAGGTTGACTGTGACTGTGTCATGTGTTAGTGGTAAAGAAAAATTTGTAATAATTCTTCTGCCAAAGCATTGAATCTATTGCCTTTCTGTCTAAAAATAAATGAAAATTTCAGTACAACTTTCTCTTTTATAATCACTCAGTACTATAGATATTCTGAAACTTCAAAAAGTAATTAGAAGTCAAAAGTCTCTTTGTTTGAAACTATTTTTTCAGATAGAGTTGCTGCAATATAACTTTTTTCTCCCTGTCGTCAGCCAAAAAGGAGATTAAAAAAAAAAAAAAAAAGAAGAGGTGGACCAGGGCATTGAATTTGGAAGTTTAATTACAGCGCTCTTTTAGTTTTTTCTAATAACGTCATTTCACTACAGTTTGGAGATCGTATTGAGGCTCCAAATTTCTACCTTGGAGTAACGAAAAGAGGAAGATGTTCAGGTGGGCAGGAAGAATTAAGACAACAAACATTTCTTGAATTCCATGAAGTTTTGGGGTAAGTTGCACATTTTACTGTTCTGCTTCACTATTTCGCTCGTGATGACTTTTTCATGATATTCAACAATGGTCACTAGAGAAATAGAGCGCCCGAACTGTGAACCATGGCACAATTGTCAATAAATGTCATACACGAACCATTTGAAACGTCAAATTATAAGGTTAGGTACCTAGCTCAACATGAGATGAGAGTAGTTGAGTTGCGAGAAGTTGTTTGTGAGGAAGCACACCAAGAAACAACCTGTTAGGAAGATAGATACTCTCCCTCCTTTGAACTCTTTCGTAGCTTTCAAAAGAATGTATCAGTGACAATTGTCAAACATCTACTATACTTGATTATGACGTTAAATTTCAAGTAGTACTTTCTCCTGTTAGTACAGGCACGACTATGCATACTTGATTACATCGTATATTTTCTTGTTTGGCAGAGGGGACGAAGAGAATCTACATGTCAATCATGTTGGCATTAATTCTGGAGATCCCTTTCGCTTTTACATCTGGAATTATAAAGCTGCGTTATCTTCTTGTGATGATGTCTTTGATAAACTCAGACATTTGAAGCAAGATTGTAACTGCACATATGATCGTGTTGGTGGTATTGTCACTAACGGTAACAAAAGGGAAGTGTTTGGTGGCATAGTCTTTTCTTGCTGTGGTCGAGGTGACTCGTTTTTCGGACAACCTGGTTTTGACAGCTCGCCTTTTCTGGAGAACTTTCCGGGGGTTACCTTTGGAGGAACTTATTGTCATGGCGAAATTGGAAGGGGATATTGTAGCTTGTACGGGCAAGGCAATGCAGAAGGTGATGTTCCGCGTTGTTCTTGGCATGCCTTTAGCGCTGTCTATCTAATCATGTCGTATACTCCTCCACTGCCGCAGAGTAAGACCGCGAGTGCGGAACCTGGTTCTTCGAGTTCAAATCAATGATTCAGGTGCTTGGACTATAACCTTTGGGATTTTTAAGGACAAATTGAATGGTAGTTATGTGGATTAACTTTAGAATATGCACTTGTTGAAATGATTTAGAATTGTTCTATACCAATTTCCTAGTTATCGCGAATAATAATGTAAAATGAGACGATTAGTGTAATCTGAAGAATTTGTTAACGCATAACACTAGATGTAACCATATCCAGCCCCGAGTGAGCTGCGAATCTGTATATTTGATTTTGGGGGGCGTGCTGAGCTGCTATTCTGTATATCTGAGGAGCGTGTTGGAATAAAAGAAATGAATGAAGAAATGCAGAGAACCTAACAATATCTGTACTGGACAAGGACCCTACGACAGTATGTTTGGTATGTTAGATTTTACTGAATAAGATTAATATAAAAAATAAGTTTGTGACTATCGTCCTTAATACTTTGTAATACTGCTGAATACTATGTAACATACAAACATACCATGAAACTGTTGTAATATTGTGCCAATATATAATGATTAGTGATTTGGTGTGATCAAACATCCATGAGAGAACGTTAAGTAAATGAGAAAATAATCGGTAGAAAAAAATGGAGGAAAAAGAAAATTGGCACGGGCAATTACCCAGCTTTTCTTTTGGCAACCTGAGGCAAATAATTTGCATTGGGCAAACGTCTAATTCAAAATTTTGACCGTTGGGTTTGAATTTTCTGGTGATGTTTTGATTGTTTTCACACATCTTTGAGATGATGATTGATGTTCTTTATGTATGCATGGTTTTCATATTGGAAAATATATCATTAACATCAAATCTATATGCTTACATCTAAAACAAAGATCAAACTCAGATATCTGAAGTTGTTCTTCAAGTACACACATATATATATTTTATTTAAACTTAGATTAATGTTTGTTTACTACTGCAAATTATTTATCATTAACGCCTCCAAGCACTCATCTTGATGGAGATAAATATCACTTGAGGACAGCGATTCATTATCGTATTCAAACCTTCCTTTTCGTGGATTCAAAGTTGCTAGTTTCCTTGTTCTTCATCATTTTGCACAATAATCTCAAACGATAGTTTGACATGGAGAATGAGACAACTATGGATATTATCAAGATGATGAATTAAGACCTTGTGAGATTCAACTAGTCTAACTTTACTAGATGGAATGATAAGTGGAAGTTTCTTCTTACAACATTGAAAATCCTCTATATATATATATATATATATATATATATATCCTGAAACTTTCTAAGTTGGTGCAATTTTTTCGAAATTGCTATATTCATGAAAGGTAATAGGAAGAAAATTTTCACAGTTTTGAGGATTATTCTTTTGAAGGAATTCAAAAACATCTTTGTATTAAGGAAGAGTCGAGCACGAGATGGGAATGAACATTCTCATAAGGACACTTCCAAAATCCTTGTCGTGGATCAAAAAAACAAATACAATAACAATTTCAAGAAGAGGAAATCTTCAAACTCCAACAAAGACAACAAAAATAAAAAGAACAAGAACAAAATCCAAGGTTTCTTATCGCGTGTGTGGTGTACCCGAACATTATGCTCGGGAATGTAGGCATCGCAAACAACCAAACAAGAAGGCAAAATGAACTCTGTTGACAACATTGTTGCTACTATGATCATTGTCAATTCTCATAAAGGAAAAGTTCAAGGATGGTGGTATGATACGTGTGTGATCATACATATTTGCTATGATAGATCTCCTTTGAAAATCTATCAAGAGGTGGATAACGAACACATTTAGTGGTTAATGAAGTCCAATCCAAGGTTGTTGGCAAAGGAAGCATAGACTAATAATTCACTTCCGGCAAGAAAATCGCATTGTTAAATATTTTACATGTAAAGGATATGAATAAAAATCTTGTAAGTGAGGATTTGTTAAGAAAATCAGGAATTAAGTCTACATATGAGTCGGGCAAACTTGCACTTTTTGAAATGGTGTATTTGTTGGCAAAGACTATACTAGTGACGAAATGGTCAAATTTTGCTCTATTGACAATAATATTAATAAAACCACAAATTTGAATTATGTGGTTGAGTCCATTTCTTTATGGCATAATAGACTAGGACATATTGGCTACTCTACTTTAAAAAGAACGATGAAAATCGGAATGATTTTATGTGAAAATATTAAACATGATAAATGTAAAATTATGTGTCAAGTCTAAAATGATTAAGAAACATTTTCATAGTGTTGAAAGGACATCTTATTTATTAGACTTAATTCATTCTAACATAAATGAATAAAATGAAATGTTAACTAGAGGAGGTAATAAATACTTTATAACATTCATAGATGACCATTCTAGATTTTGTTATATCTCCTTAATGAAATATGTGTATGAAGCCTTTAGTATGTTTAAGATATACAAAATCGAAGTGGAAAACTAATTAAATAGAAATATTAAAATTTTTAGAAGTGATAAGGGATGTGAATACTTCTTTAATCTTCTTCTTTTTCTTTTTTTTTAAAGTAAACAACATGGCATAATATATCAATGTAGTGCACCTAAAATACCCGAACAAAATGGTTTGACTGAGAGAAATAATATGATACTAGTTGAAATGATAAATGCTATTATTAAGTGCTAAGTTGTCATTTAACTAATTGGGTGAAACTTTGTTAAGTGTGCGTCACTTAGTTAATATGATTCATTCTAAAAGTTTTAAGATTTCTCTTTATAAATTGTTGAAAGGGAAAAAACCAAATATTTGTTATTTCAAAGTTTGGGGGGTGTCTTGCTCATTTTAAGATTATAAATCCTAAAAGGACTAGGTTGAAATTTAGAGGGATCAAATGCGCTTTTTGTAGGATATACCCAAAATAGCAAAGACATATTGTTTATTAAACTTGGAAACCAATGTCAATATTGAATCCCAAGACTTAGAGTTCTTTGAGGACTTGTTATCTTTAGATAATAATTCTTTGATGGAACCTCAAGTGGAGAATCATAGTTCTACAAGAGCACAAGTAGCAACACCTTTTGAATATGTTGAAATAAGTGAATTTCCCAGAAGCAAAAGAGCTCGAAGAAAAGGTGCTAGGGCCGGATGAATTTGATTCTCAATTTATTTCCTTCTATTTGATTGAGGAAAATGAGAAGAGCGTCACAAGAACTACTTTGAGTGAAAATCGATTATAAAACTTATCAAGATGCAATATCATCAAAAGATAGGAGGTTTATATGGAACAATCGAAAGATTTTGTTCTACTCAAAAATAAAGATAAATTATATAAATTAGTAAAATCCTATATGGATTAAAAAAAGTACCTAAGAAATGACACGAAAATTTTGACTTAACAATTTTTATTTTTATTTTTATTTTTTTGAATTTAAACATAATAATGTTGATAAATGTTTATATTTAAAAGTTTCTGATAATTATGTTGTGCTCATTTACTTATATGTGGATTACACGTTGATTGTGAGTAATCAAATGCAAGGTATAAAGGAACACAAAGATGTTTCTATCTTCTTCATTCAAAATAAAAGATCTTGGTTAAGTGGATACTATATTAGGTATCAAAGTCACCAAGGCTAGTCGAGGTTATAAATTGAGCCAATCACATCATGTTGAGAATGTGATCAATAAGTTCAACCACTTGAACATAAAATAGGCTTACACCCCCTTTAATTCAAGTTTGAAACTTAGAAATAATGATGAAAGAGCAATAGTACACTTGAGTGTGTAAGTGCTATTGGAAGTCTCATGTAAGCTATGCAATATAAAAGACCTGACATAGCATTTGCAATTAGTAAACTTAGTAGGTTTACTAGCAATACAAGTGAAGAACATTAGAAGGCTATTGGGAGTGTTTTTGGTTATTTGAAGAGAACCAAAAATCTAGGTCTTATGTATTCTAAATTTTCGACAATTCTAGAAGGATTTACCGATAATAGTTGGATATATAGTATATGTGAGAATAAATTCACCTCAGATTGCACAATTATTAAAATCGGATCGGACTGGCTGATCCTTCTTAGGATGTGGCGAATCGAACAGTGGTCCAATCTGATTTGCATTCATTGGTTCATTAGCAATTAAACCGATTAAGAACAGTTCAAACTGGACTGGTTTATCTTTAGTCGGATTCTATTTGGATTGATCTGGTTAGTTACCAGATAGATTGAAAGCAAAATTTTATATGGAATTTGCAGTTGGAAAAGTCCATAGACAAATCAACCTAAGGTTCACCAGAAGAAGTAAGGTATAACCCTTGAGGTAAAACCTTAGATTTAGCCTTTTTTACAAGTGATGCATCTATTACAAACATGATCAACATCAATTTTCATCTCAGGCCAATAAAATGTTCACCTAGCACCTCTAAGGTTTTCTTAACCCCAAAATGACTCAATAAACCTCCATTATATGCTTCACATACTAACAATTCTCTCATTAAGCATTTAGGAACATTCAATTTGTTTTCCCAAAATAAATATCCATCGCGCCTAAAGAATCTATCTACAGCACATTTATTACATGATTCGTATTTATTAGAAAGTTTTGAGTTAGTAGCATACATGTCCTTAACATATTCAAATCCCAACAATTTAGCACCTAAAGAAATTAGAAGTACATACTTTCTTGACCAAGCATTTGCTACCACATTTTCTTTGTCTTGTTTATACTAAATGACATATGAAAATGTCTCTGGTTCAACACCCCCTTGAAATCCTACACTTTACTTGATAATTTTCGTGAGTGGTGTGGTAATCGTACTAAAGATTTTAACAAAACGCCTATAGAAGCTAGCCAAATCATGAATGCTTTTTATCTCAGTTATGTTTTTAGGTGTTAACCATTCCTTGATAGCCTTGATTTTCTCCTCGTCCACTTCTATCTCCTTTGTACTAACAACATATCTAAGAAAACAATCTATGCAAAATGTACATTTTTTAATATTAGAGTACAGTTATTATTGTCTTAAGACCACAAGCACACATCTTAAATACTTTATATGCTCATTCAAGTCCTTACTTGTACCAAGATGTCATCGAAGTAAATTATTATGAATTTACCTATGAATGCATGCAAAACATATTCATTAATCGCATAACATCTTAGGTGCATTATAAGTCCAAATGGTATGACTAACCATTTATACAACCTATATTAAGTTTTAAAAGCGATTTTTCATTCATCTCCTACACTAATCCTAAATTTGATGATAACCAATTTTAAGCTCAATTTTACTAAATATGAATTAGCAATGTAATTCATCTAACATATCATCTAACCTAGGAATATGATGACGATAATTTATCGTTATATTGTTGATGGCTTGACAATCCACACACATCCTCCAGGTTCCATCTTTCTTTGGCACAAATAGTACTAACACGGTATAAGGACTCGTACTTTCCCTCACACACCCTTTGCTTATCAATTCCTCCACTTGCCTTTGACGTTACTTAGTTTCCTTGAGATTACTTTAAGCTAGTCTGTTTGGAATTACAGGTCCAAGTACGAAATCAATTTGTTGTTCAATGCCTCAAATGGGTGGTAACCTACTAAACATATCTTTCGAAAACACTTTTTCAAATTTCTACAACAAAGAAATAGCTAAACTAGGGAGGGGTGTGTTAAATTCCCCAAGATTAGATTGCTTCTCAACTACTGCCCTCTTCAACTCACTCCCTTTTGTAAAGAAATTTACTCTCAACTTTTCTCTCCTCTCGAAAGACTCTTTTTCTTTTTTCTCTTATGGTTTTACTATTTTTCCTCGTTACTAGACACCTTACAATTTTCTCTCTTGCTCTCTATTTTTCTCAATATTTTTTCTTCCTCACTTTTCAATTTGATTTGATCTTCATATACTTGTGCTGGTGTTAACGGCACAATGGTAATAGATTTCTTATCCTTAGTAAAACTATACCTATTTTTGGACCCATCATGTATCACCTTTCTTTTATACTGCTATGGTCTCCCCAATAATATGTGATTGGCATGCATAGGAACTACATCACACATCACCTCATCATGATACTTCCCAATTGAGAAACTTACCAACACTCGTCTATTCACCTTAGCTTCTCAACATTCATTCAACCATTGTAGTTTGTAAGACCTAAGATGTTTAACATGGTTAACCCCAATTTCTCAACAAGTGGAGTATTAGCCACATTGGTACAATTACCCCATCAATAATCATGCTACATGCCTTGTTGTTGATATGGCACCTCGTATGGAATGTGTCCTCCATTGGCTACTCCAAGTCATTCGCTTTGATTTGAGCACTAGGAGCTCACCTAGTAACCAAAAGGTCGCCCAGTGCATATTTCACATTCTCACCATCACCAGCTTCTTTCAATTCTAGAATGTCATCATAGTTATCCTCACTATCACTCATCACTTCTCCATTGTCTTGCAAAATCATTACTCTTTTGTTTGGACATTGAGAAGTAATGTGTCTCGGTCCCAAGCACCTAAAGCATTTGATGTTTCGAATTCTAGGTGGTTGGGACCTGCCTTGGATGTGACCTTGCTAGTAATTTCTTCTTTTTCCTTCGATAGTTCAGTTCTGCTCTTCGAAACAACTCCATCTTCCTTGTTGTTATCCACTTCGATTTCCAAGAAGGATTAAAACCCAAAGAACCTAATATATATCTAGTTGTCCTCTTTATCTCCAGTTATCTCTCCACCTTCATAACTACATGTAACATGTCTTCCAATTACACAAAATGTTGTAATTCCACTATATTAGCTATTTTCCTATTCAAATCGTTCAATAACTGGACCATGGTGGCTTTCCTATCTTCCTCAACATTCGTTCTAATAATAGAAATCTCCATCTCATTATGATAATCCTACATACACCTAGAACCTTAGTAGAGGCTTTGCAATTTTTGATGAAGCTCCCTATAGTAATGATTAGGCACGAATCTCTTTCTCATGATAACCTTCAATTCTGGCCATGTATTAATAGGCTTCTCACAATTTAGTCTCTCAGATGTCATCACTTGATCCTACCAAGTAACAGCATAATCGATAAACTCAAATACTGTAATCTTTACCTTCTTATTCTTCGAGTAGTTGTGGGAATAAAATATCAACTATATCTTCTTTTCCCACTCCAAGTATGCTTCTAGATCACCCATTCCTTTGAATAAAAAGAATTGTTATTTTGATATTGCCCATACTTCTATCAACTCCATTTTCAACAAGATCTCTATCCCTCATTTCATGCATAACTCCTCTATCCCTCATTCTTCCCAACTCAGCATCCACTATTGCATCTTCATCAATGTCACTATCTACTTCATATTCATCACAAATCTCCATCCTAGCCTCTCGCATACCTTGCCTCCTTGCATTAGGAGTTCTTCTAGTTGTTCTCTACGTAAATTAGCAAGCAATAGGTCTTGTCTCTTGATCCACACCTCTTGCCTATCCAACATGTTTTTCACATCTTCAAACAACCTCTTGAACCGTCGTATCACCTCATCCGACATGTTGACTTGATTATTATTCTCAGAAGTAGAATTGTCTTTGTCAGACATTCTAAATCTAAAGCAAGATTTGCCTTATGTGTATACGCTCGTGGATCCCTCAAATTTGGCTTTTCCCTTCTATTAGTCTCACCACTCTTGCATTTTTCCACTCAATGCTTTCACCCAAGTACTTCAAAGAACTGATTCGTTTTCAATCAAGTTTTATTCTTGAAAAATTCAAAACTAGGATATGAGTGAGAATATGTAACTTAGAAGCCTCAAGAAAGGAAAGAAAAGATACAAAAGAATTTAAAACTTTGAATGGGAGCTAATATTAATTGAAGAAAGTGGTTCTAAAATTTTGATTGGACACTCCTTCCTTTTTTGACTCAAAAAATGAAATTGTATACTGCTGGCAATTTTCGAATTTTTTTGCTCGGAATTTCAACTACGATACCAACAAAAGAAATAGAAACTGATTTGGGTGCTAAATTAGCACACAAATAACTTTTGTATTTTATGGATTAAAGACGAAGAATGCGAAAAAGTCAAAGAACACAAAGAGTGAAAAGAGAATAAAACAAGAGACTTAAACAAAAAAGGCATAGATATAACCTTGGTTTTTATAGCCAATGCTTTGATACCAACTAATGTGAATCCACATAATAATAATAGCTACGAAACCCACACAAGATTAATTCAAAACCAAGAAAGCCAATAATCAACGTTTAGAGTTTGATCCAAAAATATTGAACCAAGGAATCAACACAATCATTGATAATACGTCGATCTCGTGATCACCAGGCTCAATAATCTCACCCGAATTGCTTGAACACCACAAGAATTAAATCTTGATAAGTTCAGAATTAGTTCAATGAAGAACAAAAATTTGAAAGCAAAATATGCTTACAAAATAATCCTTTAAATTGTATGTATCAAAATTGTTCTAAAATGAAAATAACTAGTTCTAAAAGAACTCATGTAAACCTAGTTAAAATGAAATAAAATTCTGAAGATTACAAAAGATACTAAAAATATAGAATTTTAACTAAATTAAGAGATTTCGTAAACCTAGTTAAAATAAAATCAAATTCTAATGATTACAAAATATACCAAAAATATGTAGTTTGAACTAGATTTGGAGATTTTGCAAATCTTGAAAATTTTCACTCATAATTTGGACTATGTGATTGCATAATTATATTGGATGCTATCTCATAGAACTCTTCGACTAGATTTTCTATCTGGTTACATGCGATCGCATAGTGCAAGCGCATGTAGTCTTGCACTATGCCTTGCACTATGGGGTCAAATAGGCCCCGTTTCAGCTCATCAATTTATTGCTTGAACCAAATTGATCCATCGTGTTTTTTTATCATGAGTCCGAGTCTTATTTCTTTGCTTGTCATAATCAATGGTTCGTCTATCCTGACTTGATCAAGTAGTTTTATCGCTTCTTTAACCTTTTCGCTAGTGACCTAGTCATAGACCCTTTTTTAACGATCAATAGATCCTTGTCTAGACTTGCCTTCGTCCCATGAATCACATCATTTAAGTTCATGATTCAACCTACGAACCTAATAAGCGGCCTGCAAAGCTTTTGATCACACCCAGTGATAGTAACATAAAATGGTTTACACTAGCTTAGCGAACATTTCCTTCATCCAGATTAACTACAGGTTGTTAATACGTGTGCTAATGAATAAAACATGACATTGATAACAAAACCAGTTATAAGGCAATCAATATGGATCCATCATCTGTCATATTCCCTAAATGACTGATTTGCTAGAAAACTTGAAGGAAAATCTATAAATACCTCTATTTTTTGAAAAGTAAAGCATGAAATTTAAATATTCCCTCTCAAACATCTATTTTCCCTCTTGCTGCAAGTTTGATTATCGAAACTAATGATTTAGAGGGAGAAAAATGTAGTTAGGCGAGAGGATTAGTTTATTTGATTTTTACAATCAACAAATTGGTGCTATCTTTAGAAAAATTTTGAACCAAGTAAACCACGTAAACTCTATTACAGCTTAGAAAGCTCTGAAATCTGTGAAATCTAAGAAAATGAGCCAGATTGAAGAAAAACTAAAAGAAATTAAAGTAGCAGAAGTAAAAGTTGGAGAGTGCATAGCGACTCTCCAGTGAACAATGAAGCTAATTCGAAAAGACATTGTGAGAAAGGCTTGAAGGGAAAAATGAGGAGACTACGTATGAAATCCCAAAAAAATAAGGAAGATAAAATCAAGCCAAGTAAAGAATGTCAACAAGAATAATGACATATTTATAAGCTCTGATGGATAGAATAAAGAGTAATGCTATTCGTAGTCGCTCACTGCGGTAGTCGCCCTACGTGGCATACACATGGCAGGTGATTATTTGATGCATTAATGTAGTAATTTTTTTATTCATTAACGCATCAAATAACCACCTGTCATGTATATGCCACGTAGGGCGACTGTCGCAGTGAGCGACTACGAATAGCATTATTCTAGAATAAACTCTCGAAATTATGAAAGTAAGCCATCCTAACCGTTGAAGATGGACGGGCGGTTGATCGAATCTTGAGACAAATGGGCCACTAACCCGAAAAGACGCAAGCAAGCCCACAACACTAAATAATTAAAATCCAAGAATAACATAAATAATAAAATTGGACTTTGGGAACTATTTTCTTAAGTTCATGATTCAACGTACGAACTTGGCAAACGATCTGTGAAGCTTTTGATCATGCGAAGTAATAGAAACCTAAATGGTTCGCACCAACTTAGCGAACATTTCCTTCATCTAGGTTGGCGACAAGCTATTGATACATGTGGGTTGACAAATAAAATGTGATATTGATAATGGAATCAGTTATAAGGAAACCAATACGGATCCGTCATTTGTCATATTCCCTAAATGATCGGATTGCCCTAAAACTTAGAGGAAATTCTATAAATATCTGCAATTTTTAGAGTAAAGCATGCAATTCAAATATTTTCTTCTCAAATAACTATTTTTCGAAATTAGTGAATTTAAGAAGAGAAAATCGTAGTTAGGTAAGAGAATTTGTTGATTCGATTTTTACAACAAACTATAACTTATAAAATGTTTCTAGATCATAAAAATGGTAATATTATAAAGTTCTATTTAAAACTTTACTATAAACAAAATTAAAATGTAAACATTTAGAGTATCAATAAGTTTTACATTATTAATAATTTATAGATATAAAAATAATTAGTGACAAATATCTTTAAAAATATTATTATCGTTTCAATATATATACACACACACACACTTTCACTTCATTTAAATAATTTTCTAATCAATGACTTACCAGTTCAACCAATGATCTGATGCTCCAGCATCTTGGTCAAGTCAATTTCCGAGCCGAGTTTGATATCTATGCATTACAAACTTGATGCACTAAAATATTAAAAAGCAAGCAATTCTTATACTCCTTGAGAGAAAATTAGGACACTTACATTCTCTTCCTGCCTTTTCTGAATTATACTGGTCCAAGAAGTTATATTGATTAATACTGGTTTATTTTTCATATTTACTATCTATTCAAAACATAATGATATTCCTAAACTTGGGCGAACAAGCCGTATCAAGTGGAATAAATGAAGTCTATGGTGGCATTATCTTCTTCTCTTGCTGTGATCACTGCAATATTTTACTCCTTTTTCTGGAGATTATAACCTTCTGATTCTTAAGAACAAATTGACTGGCAGTTATAGGTTTTAAATTTTTAATATGAATTTGTTCAAATAATGCACTCTTTTTCATATTGATTTTCCTTGTATGATGTAGTCCAAAAAATTGGTTGAGTGCACGACTTTACGATATAATTTTCCTAGCTGGATAAGTTGACGTTCGATATAGAATGTAAGGATAACTAATTCACCTTTCACAACAAAAAAGGATGGTTCCCTATGCATTTCGCTCTTTAAAGAAGAAGAAGAAGAAGAAGAAGAAG